GAACGGAGTTCCGGCTGGCTCCCAAGTTGGCCACACCCAGCAGGAACTCATTAGCATAATAGGCCACACCCAACAGCAGGAACTCATTAGGATTGGCTACATTAGGGGTGTGTGGCCTAACATGCAAAGGAGTTCCTGCAACAAAAAAAGGCCCTGGGTTTTGACCACAAACAAGGTCAACAGAATAAGAAGTAAAGGTGGGTGTGGCTGGATGACCACACTTCTGGTAACATGGGAATGCGGCCTAATAGGCTAATGAGTGGTGCAGTCAGGGGGTGTGGCCTAATATGCTAATGAGTTTCTGCTGCTGGCTGTGGCCTATTATGCTAATGAGTTCCTGCTGGACTTTTTCTACAGAAAAGGCCCTGATTCAAGGTATGAGCTTTCATGTGTACATGTTGTGCACACATTGTGTGGGGGGAAATCCACACGGAAGCTCATACCTTGAATAAACCTTTGTTGGTTTTAAAGGTGCCGCTGGACTCTAAATTTGTTGTAATGCTTCAGACCAACAGGGCTGACCAACTGGATGTATTTATTTTAAGGAATCCAGACTGTAACCCCCTCAGGAATCCATGACGTCTCCGTTGCCTCTTGCCTTTCCTCCAAGGAGCTCCGAGGGGCTCAAGAGATTCTTGCAACAAGCCCACGAGGGAGGTCGGTGAGACGGAAAGAGGAGGACTGGCTTCAAGGTCACCCGGGAAGCTTCATGGCCAAGCCAGGATCCGCACCCACGTCTCCCACATGCTGCACCACACTCCATATTTGTCATGCCATTATTCCCTCAAGGGACTCCAGCCCAGCTTCTTTCCCCCACCCACCCCCCGGGCCAGTTGGGCCTTGCACCTGGCTCCTACTTTGGAGGTGCCCGACTGCCAGCAAAAACTCATCAGGTTCTTAAGGAGGATGAGGGAGAGGTGGAACTGCAGAAGGACAGAAGGGAGGAGGGCGTCTTTGAGCTGACGCACCAGACTTTGGAAGAGAGAAAAGATGAGCAGGAGCTGTGGATGGGGGGGAAGGGGGAGAGAGAGAGAGAGAGAGAGAGAGACAGGGAGAAGGAGAGGGGGATGGAAATTAAAATTAAATTAAATTTTAAAATAAAAGTAAAAAGCAACCCAAACTGGAAGATGAAGACAGGAAAGCTGGCCGTTCAGATGTGGCGTTCAGGCTAGGACGATTCCCTTCAAAACCTAAACACTCTATAAAATCCATAAATAAAACATTCTGCAGAAAATGAGAAACGAACGGTGTCCTGTTTGGAAAAGGTGGGGGGGAGAGCCAGTCTTGGAAGACATTTCTGCCCAGAAGTCTCAGGGGGAAGCAGACCGCCCCGCCACCACACACGGACAGGCCGTTCCACTCAGGTTCGACTCGGCTGTTAACCTGGAAGCCCGGGAGGGTCTCAGTCTGCAGGGACGGCCCCCCCCAGGTGGGAGCTGAGGGGGTGAGGGCTTTGGCACCCAGGGCTGTCCACATCACGCCACCCTGTTCAATGCCTTGGAGTTCCCAGGCCTGGGATGTTCATACCTCCTTGAGGCGCTCCATGTCCTTGAGGTAGAATCCGATGTAAAAAAGACTTAGGTATGAATTTACAAACTGAAACTGCGGGAAAAGCAGAGGGGAGGGGGAGAGAAACAGGGTTGTAGTACGGTTGGAGGAAATCTATTGAATTCATCCGTATTTTTCCTTTCTCCCCAATGGGGACCCAAACCAGCTTACAGCATTCTCCTCTCGAGTTGCAATGCCCCCGGTGGGGCCAGGGGATCCCCCAATTTCAGGGGCTGTGGCCCAGCTATCCAGCAGGGGGAGCTCCACCCCTGAGAAGTCCCCTCTGGGACGTCATCACGTTTCTGCCATTGGGGACGACACTCTAGGTTTAGGGCAAAACTTTATGGTTTTGATGCCAAGAGTTTTGCCCCAAACCTACAGCGCCGCCCCCAATGTCAGAAACATTATGATGTCATCACGGTGGCTTCAAGGAGGAACCAGGAGGCCCCTCACTGGCAGCCAGGTAGGACCTGGCAACCCTATCCTCCTCTCCTCCATTTTATCCTCACAACAGCCCTGTAAGGTAGGCTAGGCTGGGAGGATGTGGCGACCTAAGGTCACCCAGCAAGCTTCCACAGCAGAGCAGGGATTCGAACTCAGGTCTCCCAGATGCTAGTCTACACTCAGCCACCACACCACACTCCAGACCCCTTGCCACACCTCTCTCCCTGCAGCTATGCCCCCCGCCCGCTCCAGACTGTGCACCCTCACATGAGCCCTGCCCTGGCTCGAGACAGGCCCTGAATTTGAGCTCCACGGCCGCTCCAGACTGTGCACCCTCACATGAGCCCTGCCCTGGCCTCACCTCCCTGCTGGGTCACTGGTGACTGACCCAAAAAGTACCTGAGTGGGCTGCCGGCTGAAGCCCCAGCTCACCAGCCCCCTTAAAGAGCCCACAAACCAGGCAGAAAGAGCAATGCCCTAGCTCCGGAGGGATAGAATTCACCCAAAGAGTGATCAACACATGGAATTCACTACCACAGGAGGTGGTGGCAGTTAGACGCATGGACGGCTTCAAAAGGGAATTGGATAAACATATGGAGCAGAGGTTAACCACAAGGTATAGACAGGAACTCTCAGTCTGGGGCAAGTGATGCTCTGTCTTCTTGGTGTTTTTTTTTTGGGGGGGCAACAGTGGGAGGGCTTCTAGTGTCCTGGCCCCACTGCTGGACCTCCTGATGGCACCTGGTATTTTTGGCCACTGTGTGACAGAGTGTTGGACTGGATGGGCCATTGGCCCGATCCAACATTGGCTTCTCTTAGGTTCTTCTGGACAAACCTCGGGACCTGGAGGTTTTAATTTAGCTCCTGTGGCTCCTAGTTGCAGACCGAGCCATCCTCTGTCGAGTTTCTAAAAGCCATCTGAGCTAGTGCGCAAATCATCCCAACTTACCAAGACCATTTTAATGATGAGGTGTTTTTCATAGGCACTCTGCAAGCGGTAATTTTCTGCCAGAAGAAAAAGAAAAGAGGGCCGTGAGAAAGAAGAAGGATCAAAGAAGGAACTCTCCACGACATTGTTCCTAAGGACCATCTACTCCTACATGTTTCTGCCTGGGAATTCAGATCTCAGGGAGAGTCCTTCCTGACTGTCCCATCAATCAAAGAAGCTCATCTGGGATTTCCCTCTGTGGAAAGGGCCTTCCAGTATATTCCTCACCTCTGATGATGTCAGCACCTGATCACAGACATTGGTCAGTGTTTGCCTGTTAACCCGTCACTCTGTTAAATGTTTTGCGCCATTTGCTATCCAGCAGACAGTATTCTAAAATTTAAGTAAAGACCAAAGCTCCACCTTATCCAGAGGTGAAGCCTGCCACAAAATGGCTGCCCCAGCTGTCCTTCAATCATGCAGCAAAGATCTTTGTGTTGTGGCGGCATATCTGCAAAGATCTCCAATGGCTCATCAGAAGACTTTCTGGGCAAAAGCCCTACCTGGCCCCACCCTCTTTCAAAACAGAAGAAGAAGAGGAGATTGGATTTATACCCCGCCCTTCACCACCCAAAGGAGTCTCAGAGCGGCTTACAAACTCCTTCCCCTTCCCCTCCCCACAACAGACACCCTGTGAGGTAGGTGGGGCTGAGAGAGCTCTGATAGAAACGGCTCTTTTTCAAGGACAGCTCTTATCAGAACTATGACTTGCCCAAGGTCATCCAGCAGCTGCATGTGGAGGAGTGGGGAATCAAACCCAGTTCTCCCAGATTAGAGTCCACGCACTTAACCACTACACCAAACTCAAATCCATTTGCATGGCTTGGGACCGGAGTATCTGAAGGACCATCTACTCCTACATGTTTCTGCCTGGGAATTCAGATCTCAGGGAGAGTCCTTCCTGACTGTCCCATCAATCAAAGAAGCTCATCTGGGAGGCACATGAAAGAAGGCCTTGTTGGTGGCAGCCCCATGATTATGGAACAACCTCCCCCGAGAGGTGCGCCTGGCCCCCTCCCCCTTCGGCTGCCTCCTAAAGGTCAATTCTACTTTGTGAGCTACTGGCATTAAAGTTCTGAGTGAGCCATTTGGCTACTGCATAAATTAGTTAGCTCTGGAGCCATCCTTCCTGAGCTAAGGCAAAAATGTGTGAGCTGGAGGCTAAAAAACTGTGAGCTAGCTCACACTAACTCAGCTTAGAAGGAAGACTGGCTACAGGTGTGCTGGATTATATTATTCATTTATTTAAAACACTTATCAGCCATCTTTCTTCTTTACAGAGCTCAGGGCAGCTTACGATAGAAATAAAATACATAAAACAGAATACATAAAACCAGCATTTAAAATTAGAATTTAAGACTGCTTTAATTAAATGCTTAGGACTGCATTTAACTAATTTATGCAGTAGCCAAATTGCTCGCTCACAACTTTAATGCCAGTAGCTCAAAAAGTAGAATTTTTGCTCACAAGCTTAGAGGGACCATTGCCTGTAGCCCATGGGAAATACCTCTGGGAAGCTCACCAGCAGGGCATTGAGACAACATCCTCCCCTGTTTGATGTTCCCAGCATTTGGTACTGCAGGATACGCTGCCTCTTGATCTGGAGGCTCCATTTAGGACCATTGACCCAGACACCCTAACTTAAAGCATCATGAGGGTAAACATTTCATCTTAACGTTTCACCTGCACAACAATCGAACCTGCTAAGAGATGCTAACAGGCCTAAATGGCAAAATACCCATATTCAGGACGTGAGTACTCAAACTTGCAATTTAACAGAGAGGTGAGGAAAATTCAGCATAAAGTGGGGGGACGGGGTAGAAAAATCCTGGTGTGTTTGTGTGCAGTCACCCATGTCGTTGAGCCAGTAGGCGATTTTCTTGTAAACTTCATCGCAGGCAGTGACAATGACGGCAAGCAGGATCTTCGGCAAGAAGCGCACGATACGGGGCAGTTCTTTGATGCTCAGCACAAACTCCTGCGGGGGGGGGGGGGGGGGAAGAGCAACTCTACTTAAGACTGTACCTGCTGCCCCCCAGGGTTCCTTAGCAGGAAACTGTGAATCAGGTTTCAAACGGGACCGAATTTGACTGGGTCTCCCCGGCTGATCCTTTGGTGGTGGTGAAAAGGGCCGTCAAGTTGCAGCCAATTTATGGTGACCCCTTGTGGGATTTTCAAGGCAAGAGACATTCAAGGGTGGTTGGCCCTTGCCTGCCTCTGTGTAGCAACCTTGGACTTCCTCTGTCGTCTCCCATCCAAATACCTACCAGGGTCGACCCTGCTTAGCATCCAGAATATCATGAGATTAGGCTAGCCCGGACTATCCAGGTCAGGAGAAATCAAAAAGGAAAAAAAACCCTTTTCTTTACAAATGTTATTTCTTTTTTATATCTTTTTGTTCAACCAGCTTCAGTTTTCTGCTTTCCACAGTCAGTTTTGTACACCTGTGTGCATCATCGCTGTCCACAGTTTACAGATTTTATGTACAAGTTCTTCTGTGTCTACAGGACATTAATATATGCCATAGACATGTGATGTTGATTGATTGACTTTGCCCACATACTGATTCTGGGAATTTTTTACTATGTGTTTGAAAGTTGAGAGGTTCGGAAGCCTGCTGGCATCTCTCAGTACTTTTGATTTGATGCCAGTGTGAAAAATGCAAACATTTTATGGGGAAAACATGAAGCAGAAAACAATGCAAAAGTAAACTTCTGTGGAACCTCTACTGAAAGTCACGTCTGCCTGTGACAAAGCAGGCGCCTCTCCATGAGAGCCTCTGTGCGAATGAGTGTGTGCCCCGAGGGCACCTGCTTGTTTTTGCTGAAACAGACTCTTGCAAAAGTAAGGGATTGTGGGTAGAACTACCAGTCTCCAGGTGGGAAGCCAAAAATGAGAGATCATGGGAGGAAATGGAAATCCAAACACAACATCCGTGACAAAAATAACTAAGAGTCAATAAAGATACGTTTGCAAAATCATTTACTGTAGTCATTCTGTAGAAAATTCTCTTCTATTATCGCTCACACGCAACGGATACTGCGCAATATAAACAAATCCATTTCACAAGAATTGCTTTATCTGAGCGTGTAGCAATCACAAGTTCTTATCAATTTCTACTTATCAACTTTCGAAGGAAACATTCCATGACCTTGGGTTCTGTTATTAGAGAGTCAACATGGAATGTTTCCTTCAAGAGTTGATAAGTAGAAGTTGATAAGACTTGTGATTGCTACACGCTCAGATAAAGCAATTCTTGTGAAACGGATTTGTTTATATTGCGCAGTATCCATTGCGTGTGAGCGATAATAGAAGAGAATTTTCTACAGAATGACTATAGTAAATGATTTTGCAAACGTATCTTTATTGACTCTTAGTTATTTTTGTCACGGATGTTGTGTTTGGATTTCCATTTCCTCCCATGATCTCTCATTTTTGGCTTCCCACCTGGAGACTGGTAGTTCTACCCACAATCCCTTACTTTTGCAAGAGTCTGTTTCAGCAAAAACAAGCAGGTGCCCTCGGGGCACACACTCATTCGCACAGAGGCTCTCATGGAGAGGCGCCTGCTTTGTCACAGGCAGACGTGACTTTCAGTAGAGGTTCCACAGAAGTTTACTTTTGCATTGTTTTCTGCTTCATGTTTTCCCCATAAAATGTTTGCATTTTTCACACTGGCATCAAATCAAAAGTACTGAGAGATGCCAGCAGGCTTCCGAACCTCTCAACTTTCAAACACATAGTAAAAAATTCCCAGAATCAGTATGTGGGCAAAGTCAATCAATCAACATCACATGTCTATGGCATATATTAATGTCCTGTAGACACAGAAGAACTTGTACATAAAATCTGTAAACTGTGGACAGCGATGATGCACACAGGTGTACAAAACTGACTGTGGAAAGCAGAAAACTGAAGCTGGTTGAACAAAAAGATATAAAAAAGAAATAACATTTGTAAAGAAAAGGGTTTTTTTTCCTTTTTGATTTCTCCTGACCTGGATAGTCCGGGCTAGCCTAATCTCATGATATTCTGGATGCTAAGCAGGGTCGACCCTGGTAGGTATTTGGATGGGAGACGACAGAGGAAGTCCAAGGTTGCTACACAGAGGCAGGCAAGGGCCAACCACCCTTGAATGTCTCTTGCCTTGAAAATCCCACAAGGGGTCACCATAAATTGGCTGCAACTTGACGGCCCTTTTCACCACCACCAAAGGATCAGCCGGGGAGACCCAGTCAAATTCGGTCCCGTTTGAAACCTGATTCACAGTTTCCTGCTAAGGAACCCTGGGGGGCAGCAGGTACAGTCTTAAGTAGAGTTGCTCCCCTCTAAGCCTGTTGGTTTCAAAGAACTTAGAATAGAGTGACTCTGCCTAGGACTGCTCTGCTAGTTATCCAGAGACGGCCTCCGCAGAGAGAGGGCTGCTGCTCCCCGCAAAATCATGATTCCCAGAGACTGTCTAAGGCAGGGGTGTCAAACAGGTGGCCTAGGGGCCGGATCAGGCCCCCATAGGGCTTCCATCAGGCCCGCAGTGGAACTGGCCATCTCCTGCTTCCAGTTCTGCTGCTGCTGCTGCATCATAGCTTGCTTCGGCAGACTCTCTTAACCACTCAGCCATTTCATGTCTTAACCTGGGTCCTAGACTCCGAACTCTGAGCATGAGATTTCTGTGGTGAATGTCAATAAATCAAAAGCAGGTTTGCAGCTTACAGAGCTAATGTTTTAAGCGTGTTTTTATTTTAAATTTTAAAAAAATCTTTGTGTTTGTGTCCTTTATGAAGTTCATATCTCCGCTACCTGGCATTACATTTTATGACACACATGGCCTGGCTCAACAAGGTCTCATTTATGTCAGATCCGGCTCTCATAACAAATGAGTTCGACACCCCTGCTCTAAGGGCTGCCTACTGCAACATGTTCAGATGCAGACCATGATACGAATGTACCTCCAGAACAGGTGCACATGGCTTTCCTAATTTTTCTTTGACTTCTACCCCATGACACCGTTGCCCTTCCCTCCAGCTGTTGCAGGGTCTTTCTTCTACTGCAGCACCTTGCTTCCTCCGCCAACAGCGCTTCTACATGCGCAAGGGACTCCTTGAAACACAACGATCTCATGCTCATGGAAGTGCTAGGAGCAGAAGAAGCCAGCGCTGCAGCAGATTAACACGCCTGCCGCGGCCAGAGAGAAGCGCCAGGGGAATGATGTCACAGGATCCAAGACTCCGTCTTCTCATACACCCAGGGCTCTTTTTGTAGCAGGAACTCCTTTGCATATTAGGCCACACACCCCTAATGTAGCCAATCCTCCAAGAGCTTACAGAGCTCTTCTTACAGGGGCTACTGTAAGCTCTTGGAGGATTGGCTACATTAGGGGTGTGTGGCCTAATATGCAAAGGAGTTCCTGCTACAAAAAGAGCCCTGTGACACCCACATTTATCTGTTTGTATGCCACCTTCCCCTAAAAAGGGCTCGAGGAGGCTTACAAAAGGAATGCCCCACTTTCATCAAAAAACAGAGAAAATCAGTGTTGAATCTAGACGGGTAGCCACGTTAGTCTGTCTGTAGCACTACAGCAAGAGTCCAGGAACACCTTCAGGACTAACAACGTTTGTGGCAGGGTGGGAGTTTTTGTGAGTCACGGCTCACTTCTCCAGATGTTCAGTCTAAAGGCACTTAAAAACAATGTGCCCACAATGAACACGCCCCCCCACCCCAACACTGAAAAGCTTTAGAAAAGAGAACAACTTTCTAACTCTTTCTAAAAATCAGTGGTGAAGAGGCCCTCCTTTGCTTTGGCCTGATGCTTTGAGGAATCCAGCAAACAAGGTGCAAAAGATCCTTCTCTGTCATTTGCTCTCCTGCCCCCAGTCAGGGGTATATACTGTCTCTGGTCATTTAGCTGTCCCTGCTGACTGTTCTTTACCAGCAGGGCATTGAGACAACATCCTCCCGTTTGATGTTCCCAGCATTTGGTACTACAGGATACGCTGCCTCTTAATCTGGAGGCTCCATTTAGGACCACTGACCCAGACACCCTAACTTACAGCATCATGAGGGTAAACATTTCATCTTAACGTTTCCCCTGCACAACAATCGAACCTGCTAAGAGATGCTAACAGGCCTAAATGGCAAAATACCCCTATTCAGGACGTGAGTACTCAAACTTGCAATTTAACAGAGAGGTGAGGAAAATTCAGCATAAAGTGGGGGGGACGGGGTAGAAAAAACCGGGTCTGTTTGTGCGCAGTCACCCATGTCGTTGAGCCAGTAGGCGATTTTCTTGTAAACTTCATCGCAGGCAGTGACAATGACGGCAAGCAGGATCTTCGGCAAGAAGCGCACGATACGGGGCAGTTCTTTGATGCTCAGCACAAACTCCTGGGGGGGGGGGGGAGAGGAAGACACAATGGGCAGCAGGCATGTGTGCTGGGAACTCCTGGGCACCACCCACGAGGTTTGGTGGGTCACACTGCCCTGGAAAGCTCATGCTTAGGACGCCAGAGGCCGTGTCAACTTGGAGCTCTTTATGCTCAAGATCTGACAGAAGTCAAGAAGGGACAGATCAAAACGATTCTGGATTCCTCTCCCAGGTGCTTTTAGAATGAAAATCCTCACTGCATTTTTTTTTTCTCTTCTCTCGTGCAAACTGAACTCACAATTAGGCTTGCCAAGTCCCCCCGGGGGGCAGGGAAACCCCCGCCCCAGAGGCCCGTTCCCTGTCACCGCTGGATCGGGCCCCGGGGGGAACTCCACCCCGACGTGCACGTCACCAGGAAGTGACGCGATCACGCAGGGCACACTGGGGGCGGGCCATGACCATCTGAGGGAAAACTCTATGGTTTTCCGTCATATGGTCATGGCCCCGCCCACAGCGTGCCCTGCGTGATTGCGTCAATTCCGTGTGATGTGGATGCGGCACGTGCGCGCGCAAAGCACACGCGCGTTCGCCCCGGGATCGAACCGGGAGTCCCCCGCTTCGGGACGCCTAATATGCGAATGAGCTGTGGTGTCAGGGGTGTGGCCTAATATGCTAATGAGTTTCTGCTGCTGGGTATGGCCTATTATGCTAATAAGTTCCTGCTGGGCTTTTTCTACAAAAAAAGCCCTGCTTAAAGTCATCTGAGCCAGTGCTCATCACAGTGTCTTGTGGTGGAGAGTTCGGTAACCTAATGATCTAAATAATCACACCACCACCACCCCAGAATTTTCTCCCCACCCCCATTTCTTTCTGCTGCTCTCTCAGGGGCACCCAGCATCCTTACCTGCAGCTCGAAGCAACCCAGCATGGCGAGGAAGACAAAGGAGAGGCAAAAGAGGCAGACGGGGAGGCTGACCAGGCATTGGAACAGCAGCCGCTTCCACGGAGGATAATAGAACTCTTCGGCATTGGTCACCGGGCTGATGCGCTTCACCCCCTACAAGGAAAGGAGGGTGTTACAGAGAGCTGGCAAGCTGTGGTCGGACAGCAAAACAGTGCAGCTAAGTACGGGGACTCTCAAAATCAGGACTCCGGGAGCCAGGGCCCACTGCCCTCCTTTCTGCGCCACTATAGCCATGCCTGAGCCACAGAGCCCTTCCAAAGGAGGCCACAGCATCTGGTCAGCTGAGCCTCTTTGGTAGCCACATCTGGCCCATGAAGACCTCCCCCCTCCCTGGGACTCCAGCCCCTGGGTCCTGGCCTCCTCTGTGTACAGGGCCCCAAAGAGAGTCCCCCAACTGACCCGGAACTGTGGCCGTGGCTCCTCAATGGACTCTGCGGGCGTGTCCAGGGTCCCCCACTTGTAGGCAAACTCGGCCCCCCGGCGCTTCCACTCTTCCAGGAACAGTGTGGACCAGATGACGTTGAAGATGGCAAAGATCACGCAGCAGACATCCCGGCTGGTCTGGTTGGGTTGGGGGCGAGGAAGCAAAGACGGCTGAGTGGCAGGAAGGAAGCCCAGAGAGCCCGGCCAGTCAGCCCGCCTGTCCCCACCCAGCAGGGCTGCCATCATTGTGCATTTCCAGGGCCGGGCACAAAATCCACACGAGCAGCCCTGGATCTTTGCTCCTGCCCAGCAGGAGAGAGCCAGAGAGCAGCTCACAAACAACAGCAGGAAGGCAGCTGGCTTCTTCCGTTGCTTGTCCCCCCCTCTCCCAAGTAACGCAGTCAGAGGTACACTGCCTCGGAACATGGAGGCTCCAATCTGCCTTCCGATACATCCTGAAAAAACAGGAGATCTGGACTGGGATGAGAGTGCTATGCAACAGCAGCTTGTGGAACTCAATGACACAAGACCCAGTGGTGGTGATACATGTAGGTCCTTTTCTTTCTTTTTTTAAATAAAAGGAAGACCGGGCCAATTCACAGAGAAGTCAATCCATGGTTATTAGCCTCCACAACAGAATGGAACCTCCATGAAGTGAAGCAGTCCACCCTTGGAGTTCGAGTTGGACACCAACAGGAGAGGGCGCGGCCTTCCTGTCCTGGTTGTGGGCTTCCCACTGGCCACTGCTGGAAACAAGACTGCTGGATGTGACAGGCTTTCCAACTTCCGGGTGGGGCTTGGGGATTCCCTGAAATTTCTGTTGATCTCCTGACAACAGAGTTCAGCTCCCCAGGAGAAGAGTGTGCATGCCCACGAGAGCTAATCCCCAGAATTAAACTTTGTTGGTCTTAAAGGTGCCCCTGGTCTCAAACTTTGTTCTGTTGCTTCAGACCAACCCAGCTGCCCACCTGAATCAGGTATCAGGTCAGGTTGCAAGGATGGGCAAGGCCATACTGGCTTACATTCACCACCACTCCAAGATCCATTGTCCTTCCGCCCTCCCCACACCCTCAGCCATCTCCCCCATGTTTCCACTGCAATCTCACTGGGGCTGAGAGCTGACTAATCTGTGCACCTTCCCTAAGCACCTGACCAAGCAGGCTCTCCCTCAGGTATTATTGTTGCTTTCAGTAACAAGAATACTGTTAACTAATAACTGGAAATTCTTTTATTAGAGGTCGTAACAATTGACATCTTCCATTTTTTTCTTTTTTTAAGCCCCCGGAGGGGATTTTTTTATCATTTTTACAAACTACAAAAAACTATCACAGAAAAAATAGGGAGGGGGACTACATATACAGGATAAAGAAAAGATACCCACAACTACCTAAAAACCCAAAAGAGGAGATCTTCCTTGGCTTAGTTACAATAACACTTCCCTTCATTTACACATTAAACAAACTGAGTCAATCATTAACAATACTTTTTCTTTTCTATCACTCTTACTCCTTCACTGTCTAAAGACAATACCCCCCCCCAAGTCATCTCTTTTCATCATTTTCCAAGGCACAATTCAGAGTCCTTCAGCCTCTACTTCTCTTTTCCTTGTCTTTTCCATAGCTTGTAAGGACTTTTTGGGGCTACATCTTCCATTCTTAATAACTATAGCAGAAGTAATTACATGTTACGGGGGCGGGGGGGCTGTTGCACTTATTTCAAAACTCTTTTTTAGACTTTCCACATATCCAATTGGGGTTTTAAGACTGTGGTTCTGACTGGGCCTTTGACTTGGGGGAGGGGCAATGGCTCAGTGGAAGAGCCTCTGCTTGGTGTGCAGAAGGTCCCTGGTTCAATCCCCGGCATCTCCATTTAAATGATCAGATCGTAGATAATGTGAAAGACCTCCGCCTGAGACCCTGGAGAGCCGCGGACAGTCTGAGTAGACCGGGGTCTGATTCAGTATGAGGAGGCTTTGTGTGTGATGTTCATGTGACTGTTTTTTTTGTCCTAAACCACTTAAGAAAGGAATTTACTAGAGCATATTTTCAAACTATGACTTCTGAGTATTTATAGGGCTGATTTAAAAAAATACCTGTGGAACAATGCCTCTGACCTTGTGGGCTTAATTAGATGGAAGATACTGTACACTATGTTATACACTGCTGCTTCTTCTTTTTTTTAACTTTATTTATTATAACTTTTTAATAACATTTTAATAACAATTTCTATAACCAAACTTTAAACAACATTCAATACAAAACAAAATCAATATACTTAGTAGGTAACTCGGATACACCATCCTTTACAGTATTTATATAGTTGAAAAAAACAAACCATTTTTCTAAAAATTTTGATGTTTTCTGAGGTTGCTCCATTTCTAAAATTTACATTGCCATTTTATCCATTATTACAATATCCCATAACTTTATAAACCATTGCTTTATAGTTGGTACTTTGTCTGATTTCCAAACCTTGGCTATTAACGTTTTAGCCGCAATAAGCATTAAAGATATCAGTTCTTCAATATTTTGTGAATAAATACCTTTTCCCCAAAGATTTAACAATATGGATTCAGGCGTATTAGGTAAATCAATTCCTAAAATAGACTCTATTCTTATAATTACCAATTTCCAAAAACCTTGTATTTTTGGGCAGGTCCACCAACAATGATACAAAGATCCTGACTGGTTACAACCTTTCCAACAGTTTGAGTCTTTTTTTACTTTAGCATGAAATAACTTCAAGGGAGTTACATACCATCGTGCAAAGAGTTTATAATTCTGTAGCCTGATGTTTAATGATGTCGTTGATACACTGCTGCTTCTATTAATCAGTGTAAATTCTTCCAGCTCAGATGAGGAATGTATTAATTTTTATAGGCGCATGCTATCTCTTTTGTTACCCTCAAAGTGGCTACTTTTATCTTTTTATCAATAAATATAAGGAAGAAATCAGTATCTGCTAATTCTGCAAGAATTTCAGCTAAATTGTAATTCCATGTGATCTTACGGATATTTTTTCCTGTTGCATTTATTTCTTACCGTCTTAAGTTTTAAACTTTATAAGTTTTATTCTGTTATGTAAAGGTGTTTTGTTGAGGAGGGCATACTGTTATATGTTGGTGTATACGCTGGGATGCTATGGCCGATGGCTACAACAATAACAATAAATCTCAGGAAGCTGCTGAAAAGCAGACTCCAAAGGCACTGAATGGAGCAATCCAAATGAGTAACAAAGACAGCAAAGACCCTTGCCTGTTGGCACAGACCAGCCTGTGGTAGACAGGAACCTGCCCTCCCTCAGGGCTCCTCCCCCTTTCTCACCCTGCCCCCCCCCCCCCCTCCTCGCTGCCACCATGCTCTCACCTGGTCATTCTCTGTAAAGGTGTAAAGAAGCGAACCGAAGACAGCAGGGTACACCATGGCTGATGTGTAGAAGCCCAGCCACGCAAAGTACATGGCAATCTTGACACCAAAGTAGTCACAGATTTCATCTGGGTGGGGGGGCAAGAGAAGAAGGAGGCAAAGTCAGCAGGGCCAGAGGGCTCAGGCCAGAGTCCCCATCCAAGGCTGGCAGATTCTGGACTGGGGAAGCAACTGGATTTCATGAGCACAAATCTTCAGTTTTAAAAAATCCCATTTTAAATGCACAGTCCCCTTTTATTCTGGCAATGTGATGACACTGGATAGAGTGATTTCTGTTTGAAGAGAAATGATTCCCCTTTTTTTAATATATACTAGTGCAAGATTTACTACTATCTAATCCAATATACCGACAAATGCTTTCGCTTTAACCTGGTTCTCTTTACCAGCTTTAACTCTTTCCTTCTTTTTTATTTATTTATTTATTCATTCACTTGTTATTTCTCTTTCTTCCCCCTCCTCATTTCCACAGGTGTAGAGTCAAGTGCTTCTTCTGCTTCATTGACTATGCTAAAGCCTTTGACTGTGTGGATCACAACAAACTATGGCAGGTCCTTAAAGAGATGGGAGTACCAGACCACCTCACATGTCTCTTGAGAAACCTGTATAAGGGCCAAGAAGCGACAGTTAGAACCGGATACGGAACAACTGATTGGTTCAGCATAGGAAAAGGAGTACGACAAGGATGTATACTGTCACCTTGCTTATTTAATATATATGCAGAGTACATCATGCGAAATGCTGGCCTGGATGAATCACAAGCCAGAATTGAGATTGCTGGGGAAAAGATCAACAACCTCAGATATGCAGACGATACCACTCTAATGGCAGAAAGTGAAGAGGACCTAAAGAGCCTCTTGCTCAGGGTAAAAGAGGAGAGCGCAAAAGTGGGCTTGAAGCTCAACATCAAAAAAACTAAGATCATGGCATCCGGCCCCATCACTCCTTGGCAAATAGAAGGGGAAGCTGTGGAAGTAGTGACAGACTTCACGTTCCTGGGATCCCAGATCACCGCAGACTGTGACTGCAGCCATGAAATTAAAAGACGCCTGCTCCTTGGGAGGAAAGCGATGGCGAACCTAAACAGCATGATAAAAAGTAGAGACATCACCCTGCCAACAAAAATACGCATGGTCCAAGCAATGGTATTCCCAGTAGTCATGTATGGCTGCGAGAGCTGGACTATAAGGAAGGCCGAGCGCCGAAGAATAGATTCTTTTGAACTATGGTGCTGGAGAAGACTCTTGAGAGTCCCTTGGACTGCAAAAAGATCAAATCAGTCAATCCTAAAAGAAATCAACCCTGACTGTTCCCTGGAAGGCCAGATAATGAAACTGAAGCTCAAATACTTTGGCCACCAAATGAGAAGGGAGCACTCACTGGAGAAGACCCTGATGCTGGGAAAGATTGAAGGTCAAAGAAGACGGGGACGGCAAAGGATGAGATGGTTAGACAGTGTCA